AAATATTCTTTGAGGAAAATAAAAGGTAATGGAATTAAAATTTAAAAAATGTTGTAATAAGAAGTATTACTAGAAATATTAAAATAACAATAAAAATAATAATGTATATAGGCTTAAAAAAAAAAAATTTCCCCCATTCTTTTTTATTTAAGACATGCATCCTGTTTAGAACAGCCAAAAACGCCACCGTGATTTAAATGCATAAAATAGCTATGTATTGACAAAATATAAAATTTTTTTTTTAGCTAAATGAGACACATGAATTACAGAGTTTCAACGGTGACTATTTTCTTTGATGGATATGTATTTAATAAAGCTTTAAAATATTGAAGTTTATCATAATATAACATAGCTTTAAATACAGATCTTCTGTGATTCTATTAAGAAATTATATATAGGTAATTCAATTAAAACACACATAAGATAACTGCAAGAGCATTCACAAAAATAAATAAGTAAATATATATTTTTTAATTAAAATATGCAAATTCATTTATAAACTAAAATCTATATCAAAATTAGTTTAAAATAAAAATGCCATACCTAATCCTCTAGATGCGACATCTGTTGCAAACATAACAACATGATTCTTTTTACAGAATTCATCATAAATCTGCATCCTTCTAAGTTGATGCAAACTGCCATATAATGCCATTATACTAACTCCTGGTCTCAGACGACAAATACTTTCATAAGTGAACTTCACCTATAGAGCAAAAAATAGTTTTTTTAATAAAATCCTTTTACATTAAGTACTATGTGAAATACAAATAGTTCAATTTAGAAAAATACATTAAAGTTAATATAATCTTGAAATTAAAAGCTATTTATGAAAGTTTCTTTAAATCTTTGTCAAGTGCATAGGTCATCTAATTTTATTGAATCATTGCCCATTGAGATTTAACAAGCTGAAAGGACCATATTTGTTTATGAACTTATCACATGTTTTTCTTTTTTTCTGAATTTCCTAATTCAACGCAAGTTAATGCAATTTTAAGAGCTCTTTTTGCGATTGTTTTTCCAAATTTTTTGCTTTAGGTCACATTTTGTTTTGCTGTACAAAACTCATAGTTGAAAAAAAGACAAAGGTATGTAGAAATTCAAGGGATCGTTCCATTTTTAACGATTAACATATTACCACAATGGCCTTACATAAAATCAGAATTATTATGTAGTTTATAAGCAAAAATTATCTTTCTTTTTTTATAAAAAAAAGTATTATATTTTAAGGGGGGGGGGGCAAAGATGATCGTCAGGATACCTCAGGGGTTGGCGAACGAAATAACCAGGAGACAGAGTTTCCGAGTAAGTCCTTGAAATAAATGCATATTTAATTAAATCAAAGAATATATCAGCGTTTTGGAAAAACATTAGGGTAACTGCAGGGGCACCAAAGTTCAAGATCATGGCACCCTTCAACGTAAAATTGAAAAGCATTCATTGCAGTATTTTGTAATAGTTAAAAATCAATGTTTTAAAATGCAAACTATCCTATTTTTTCAGGGTTCTCAGTGCCGCTTACCACAGTTCCAAAATGTCTCATTTGGCAACGCAACGAATGACCATATTTGCTACATTGTGAGACCTAAAAAAAATGTTTTTTTTAAAAAGAAGAAAGTGATTTTCTTAAGAAAATTGATTTATACCACTCGTATTCAACAGTATGCCACTACATTATGTAGACAGTTCAGTGTTATGAACTCCAACAAAACAAAATTTTGATATCAAATTGATGCAAAAAATGTAAATAATAATTGTTTATCGGAATGGGCTCAATAGGGCATTGTACAAGTTAATAAGATATTTGATGTGTGGGTGTCTAAGAAAAACAACCAAAAACTAAAGAAATTAAGTATTTTTTAATGTTTATTATTTGCAAACTGATTATTTTCAGAAAGATATATTCTTTTAATTTATTGTACTCACTACTAATGTACTATAAAACAGAACTAACTCCAGTCAAATATTTGCATTCCATAACAGTTTAAATTTTTCTTTCTTACAGAACAATACAAAATTTTTAAAGTATTAGTAGTTTCCATAATGGGTAATGGGATTCAGAACTGGAAGGAAGGGGATGAATGGTTTTATTTTGCTAACATTTCCTTCATTTAACTTTTGTTTTATTGGACAGCCTAGCTGAATTGCTAAGGTAACACTGAATTCTTTGATAGCAAACCAAAGATTTTATGAACATTAATGTATGCTCAACACTCATTTTAACTATAGTTTGTTAACAACTCGCTAGAAAATCTTAACACCTCTTAAAAGATCACATGCACTCGTGAGCAATAGCCCCAATATTGGGAACTTATGATCTAGAAATCGGGAGGGGAACCGACAACTTAACGATATGTGGCGCATAATATTTTTGTTGCTGTGACAAATGTAAATTTTTTTATCAATGTGTTTTAAACAAGGGCATATTTTATGCTAAATCATTTTCAGATTTTTTAAAATAGCTTATTACTCAATATACAACACTATGATGAGGTCTTGTTTTTTTTTTTATTTGAATAGACATTAGTGCAAATTAATCTTATCTGAAACTTTCATTCATTCAGAGGGTTCAAGTTGAAAGGTTAAATAAATTCCAATTGCATGTATTATACATCAATCCACTGCATAGAAATACAATCTTTTCATCTATTTGGAATACAGACAGAAATGATTCATGTTAATTGGTTAATTTAAATACATGCCTAAAGCGGATACTCTTGTAACTAACCTAATAATTATCTATGGGCTTATAATTATTATCTTTTTAAGGACCTTATATTTGCGAATTTAGTTATGTAAGTTAGATTATGATGAATTAAACTCTGTCTGACCACAATGAGGTTGCAAGCAAATTTGGATTCATGAATATAGTGCTGAAGATTCACTCCGTTAATTCTTACGTAACACAGGCATGTTTCCTGTACAAGCGAACCAGCTGACTCAAAAACAATTTAGAAAGTTAGAAACACAAATCAAGGGGGGGGGGAAGAAGAATGTCTAAAAATATGCATGTTAGCAAAAACATTACTTTATCAGGGAACACAAGAGGAAAATTAAAAGAATCAAAACTTAAAAATAAATTATAACAGTTTTATCTTAAGCTAAAGCACTAACCATTACAATTTTAACCAATTCATACAATGGGTGCTAATTTATGCCAAGTTCTAGGAGCTGAAACTGTGATAATAAATTTTTTTTGAATGCATATTTTTGAATACAAAAGATTTGATTTGATAAAGAGAGAAGAAAAAAAAAAAAAACCTTAATTTGCTTTAAAAGTTTAAGTTTTTTTTTCCTGTTTAAGTTTATGAGAAATACATATAATTTTTTATTTTTCTTCACCCCTACAATATACTCAGATGAAAACAGCTAAAATATCTGAAAAGTTTTATATGGGGATTTTAGATTTAAAAAGAGTCTTTCTTTCACTATACATACATAATTATATGCTTTAGAATAATTATATTAGTATCAATAATCAAAAGATTATTACTTTATTTTGAAGTTAGAATTTAGAAAAACTAATCAAAAGAAAGAAAGGCACTTCACAACATATTAGACATTATTTCATGTATTTTGTAGTGCTTTATATTTAAAATAAAAGAAAAGCAAACTTTAAAATTTTTTTTATCTTACCTGCTTGCAACTTGCCATAAATACCAAAATCTTTTGTTTTTTATGACTTTTAATAAAAGACCAAATTAAATTCATTTTGTCATGAGCATCACAAACAATAAAACTCTGTAAAATAAATATTTTCCTTTTAAATAAAACAGCATAACAAGGTTACATACATAAACAATATTATTAGTATAGAAAGACCAATATATTAAACCACCAAGAGCCCCATGGTAAAATAGTGCTGAATTTTTCTTGTTACACACTACATTTCCTGCATTTGAAAGTTAAAAATGCAGGAATAAACAAAGAAACTACTTTATCTATTAAACTTTACAGTTTTAAGTTAAATATACATTAGAAGAAAACTAAAAAATAAAAAACGCAAAAACTAAAAAATAATTATCATAAAAATAATTTATATTACATATGAATAAAGTTAACAGCATTTTATGTATTACATAACTATGTTAGATGTTATATTACAATTTAGATATTTAAAAAGCAAAAAAGTACATCAGGATTAACAATTTCACGGTCTAGAAAAAATTTACAATATCATATTACAATATTCTATAATTTAAAATATTATATAAGTTTTAAAAAATTACAATTTTTAAAACACTGAGCTAAAAGTATGATGTAATTCTGTATTAAAAACAAGCAAAAAAAGTTTTTTTTCTTAAAAAAAAAAAAAAAATAAAAGCTANAAAAAAAAAAAAAAAGACTGTAAGGAATAAATAGTCACAAATAATATAAATACAGTAGTCTGAAAAACTACATTTTCTTTTTAGAATTAACTACAATTATTTTATTACAAATGTAGTTAACTATAAGCATTTATTTAAAAATGCAGTAATTGAAACTATTTCTGAAATGTAGTCTTCACTTAAATACATTTAGGAGGAATCTTAAAAGAAAATTTTTTCGGAATAATAAATAAGTCAGCTTAATTATTATAGTTTTTTTTTTTTTTTTTTTTCAATCTTGAACTTTTTATACCTTTTATCACAGTATTTATTTCAAGATTTACTAGAATATTATCAAATATTTGAGATTTTGTTACATGTTTAGAGTCTAAGTTAACTAAATTTTTAAAAAAAAGAAAGTATAATATATCAAGGGCATTCTTGTAGCGTTCACTGATGAACACATGTATCAATTGCACAAATAAAATTTGAAAAATTTGTTGCATTTAAACTTTTTTTTCCTTCTTAAACTAATATAAAAAGTTGCAAAGAATCTCTCTAGAGTGTGCATCTTTTTTGGTAATGCACTACTATGCAACTTTTTCTTTTCAAAAAACAGCACATTACACTACCAACTATAAAAAAAAAAAAAAAAAAAAAAAAAAAAAAAAAAAAAAAAAAAAAAAAANAAAAAAAAAAAAAAAAAAAAAAAAAAAAAAAAAGAAGTAAAGATTCCAATAATTTTATTTTTTGTAGAACATTAATTCCGACCACTGAGTAAACAGTAAATTTTAGCATACTTCATTATTAATAGCTTATCCTAAAAGTTCACATAAAAATTAATCAACCAATGAAAGAAATATTTAAGCTAATACAGTTGATAATACAGTTAAGCTAATACAGCCGCTATATTGAACCTGGGATATAGTGAACACTAGGATGTAGTGAACTTTTTTAGCGGTCCCGTCCATACTTCTATTTAAATAATGTTATTTTTAATGCGTATAGTGAACAGCTTAGAACTTGGAAACTCGGTTATAGTGGATTCAAATTTCATTTCTTTAAATATCTTTTTCAGTCCTCCATCTTTAAACTTGTAGGTGTTGGGACTGAAAATGAATGCATTCCTATAAAATGTGTCATATTTCACTCCTTTATGCTTATCACTCTCAACTATACTGTAATAAATGTCAAACAGAATCTTATACTCCCCCTTCCCTGACAAGCCTCGCTTTGTCTCTTTTCCCCCAAGCTTGCTCTACAACTAGTTAACTTGGCCACTGCTGAATTTTTGGAATTTTCTTATCGATTCAAACCATATTCTTCACAAATCACCCCCATAACAATCAAGAAGGGGAGCAATTTAACTTATTCTACAGCTGCTCTCTTCATATTCTCACATTATCTATTTGAGACAAGACTTTTATTTCAAAAGCAGTGAAAATAGCAAATTCTCTGAAGAGAAAAGTGTTTTCGATAGAGGACAAAGTTAAAATTGCAAAGCGTATTGAAGATGGAACCAATCAATCGGCACTGTGTAAGGAATTTTCCTTGTCAAAATCTACAGTTTCAAACACTTGGAAAAATCGAAGTGCAATTCTTGCAGCATACGACAAAAATATGGTTTCATCGAAAAAACTGCGTGGAGCAGAAAGATAAAACGTAGAAGAAGCTTTGTTAAAATGGTTCACCACTCAGCGGGATATGCTTCAAATTAAAGCATATGAGTTTGCTGAAAAATTAGAGGAAAGGATTATGTGTGCTCTAATGGATGGCTGGATAGATTCAAAAAACG